CCGCGGATCACAGTTTATGGCAAACCCGAGCTGAGATCCTGCGCCTCGGCTCCGTCTCTGCAACCGGCTTCCCTGCTCCGATACCTGGGAGCTCTGCCGCACTCAGGCACCCCCGGTCTTTCTGTGACCCCGAGGGTCCTGAGACCACACTGTCCCATGAGGGTTCCACCTCCCGCTTAGCCACTGGAGCGACGTCCCTCAGCGGAGCCGGCTTCTAAAAGTTCCGATTTTGTGCTCCGCAGCTCTATCACTTGCCAGAAGCGGCCGACGGAGGCCCCCTCTCCCGCCGTCTATCCTCCCGAATATCGCCTCGGATTCACTTCCCCGCACGTCCTACCTTCCAGTAAGTGGTCGCTTCTCTGTTCAGAGAGTTGTTGTTACTCTCTTCTTCGGTTTCCTGTTGAGTTCGTAGGTGTTCAGAATGGTTTGATCCCTATCCAGCTGAATTCCTGAGACCAGATGAAATCCAGTCTCCTACTCCTCCGCCATCTTGCTCCTATATCCCCGTGACCCATTAAATTTTTAATAGATACTCCATCTAACTCCTCCTTTTTTAGTCATTTTTAACTAACTATCTGAAAACTTCTACCTGGTTTAATTGTCCCCAGGCTATTTCATCCATTTTATTTGTATTGCTTACTTTCTTTTGAAATCCTATTTTTGCTTTATTCAACTCCATTCTGGGGAAGCTCAGCAAGGAAACTTCACAACATCTATCACATCATTCTGCCTTATGTAACCTTATTCTGACAATAAGGTCACATAAGGAGTCCAAGCAATTGGAACCTCTTTTACTACATAATTTTTTATCAAACATCACTTAGTTCAAAGGCATAGAATTAGGGGAATACTTTGGTATTATTATAAAATCAATCCGCATATGTTTGCATTTTTCACATTTCAGCAGCCTCAGAAACAACATTCCATTTAATATCTTAGGATGGATATGAACAATTCCCTTCCCTGGCTATAAATTACATATCTCCATTTTTATCTCACTCAACAGATTGGGAGTTTATCCATCTAGCTATATTTTTGCAAAAGTTGAAGTTAATGAAAATCCTGAGTAAGACCAAATGTGCCTTTTCATTTGGTAATATCTAGTACAAGGGAAATAACTCCCTGATCATCATTGCTGAGGATCTATTTCAATAGCATCTGTGATAGTATCCCACAATTTGAGTTGATTTTTGAATCAGTATTCCCATGTTTTAAGTCTCTTAATTCCCATCTCCTGTGACCTCTCTGATCTTTTCAGTGATTTATTATTGGATGAGAACCACATTTCAATCTAAGAAGATATCTGCCTATCTCTCATGTTTGTTCTTTTTAACACACAGAATCAGGAACTATAATTTGGAGGCCTTGGCAGCCTTGAGATTTTTATCAATCACTTTTGTTTTCTCAAAAGCAACTGAAAGCAACCAAATTACCATACTAAGTGTCTGGACCTCCCCT